ATAAATATACATACATACATATAACATACATAGAACATATATATATATATACATATAGTATGGTCGCCTGTACGGCAAAGGAAGTTAACTGTGTCATTGCTATGCAGCGATGATACGGCAGGTTATAGCTATGCATCAAGCCTGAGTGAAGTTTAATCAATGGTATCTGAAATTGACAGAACATGTCTTGGAAGGAACTAAGGAATCCTGGGATGAGGCTGCAAGTTTTCTGATGTTATAACTCCAGAAAAAAACAAGAACTGGGCGGCCGCAGGAAGAACCTGCCAGAGACCACTTTCTAAAGGGAGTATAGTTATCTAGATGGCGATGTGCCCTTGGGGGCGGCTCTAGCGAGGGGCCCCTGTCAGGAATGCTGGAGTTATCTTTGATCGAGGAGCTTGTCAGGGTGTTAATTCCGCACATAAAGAAAACGCTCCTGAGGGGACGCTGGCCTGTCTTTCAGTTTACATAATATTACAAAACTTTGACGCATCCCCTGTCACAGACCGAGTGCAGAAGAAAGACTAATGTAGATCCAATGTGAAATCAAAACGCTGGCCAGCACGAGTGACTGACAGGCAACCGTGGCCGGCCAGCGTCACTCTCTCTGTCTCTGGCGTTTCCGCCGCTTTGCTTCGGCATTGGCGGTCCTGTAAATTTTAGGGAGGTAGAGTTCTCAATCCAACAGTCTCTCTCCTCCACCTATCAAAGGCGTCTTTCATGTTTGGCGGGGGGTTCCTTCGCTTGGTGGAAGAGTCCATAGGGCAGCGCTCGGTCATTCCACCCGTTCTAAAAGCACTACGTTCTGCCTGAATGCGGGGTCTGGCTAGCTTGCTGGTTCGCTATAGTCGTCCTCCACCAAACGGCTAGAAGCAGGAGCCGAGAGCCTTCAGTTACCAAGGCGTCCTTTCCTGTGGAACCAGCTTCCCAGTCGTGGTTCGGCGCGAGCGCGCCAGACCACGTCAACAGCGTCACACGTTCTTAACGACGCTAGCGCTTAAAGACGTCTTCCGTGCCTACTGTTTTTTTGCACCTCACGTGCACGCTCTCACCACACCGCCGGCGCTCAGCACAACACAAAACCAACATATATAATATACAAGATATACAAACGACAACCTAACAAAAAAAAAAAAAACAAAACAAACAGAGACAACAAAAAGAGAGGACGACATACCACATATCATTCACACTACTTCTCCTCTCCTTTTCTGCAACTCTTCATGCTCCCATTATGCATGTTACTAATTTCACTTCTTCCCCGAATTCTTGTGCTTTATCGTCCTGCAGGTTCTCATGGATCCTGTGGAGCCTCCTGCCCAATTGGCCCTGCTAAGACCTACCATTGCTAATATCACTGATATTATTGTTATTATTATTAGTTGTTGGTTGAGTATTGTTGTTGCTGCGGTTTGCTGTTGTCGCATGCTCGCTGTCCCCCATCGTTGCTGCTGTCGTCCGTCGTCCAACCGTCTTTCTCATGATCGTCATCGATCAATACTGTTGTAATGTATTGTTGCTACTGTTGTTGCTGTACATCTGTTTTCTCTCTCATCTCTCTCTCGTCTCCTCTCTCTCTCCTCTTCTCCAACTGGTCAAGAGCAGAATGACACCCACCTAGAGCCGAAGGGTCTGATCCGAGGTTTCTGCTTGTTAAAGGCAGTTTTATCCTTCCCGTCGCCAAGTCTTGCTCATTGGTGGTAACTGTTGGGTCTCTGTAAATGTTAAAAGAGAGATTCGGTCATAACTGTTCATATTGAGTGTCCTGAGATATTCTGTTATAATTGGCGCATATACAAATAAAATTATTGATTGAAAGCACATTTCTTTGATTATATTTATTATCTTATTTATATTTTATTATATTCATATTTCTATTTATTTTTATTATGTAATTACTTGTATTTTTATTAATGTGCTAATTGGAGCTTAACATTAGCTACTCGGTAAGATAATTGTCTAATCAGTGTGAGCTAATTTAGCCAGTTGGTAATGTGGTGTCCCATTTTTAAGACAAATCGTGAGAAAGAGTCGACCCATTTGGTGATGACTGTATGTCACAACATATCCCCCACCCTACCCCAGCTCCACCCAACTCCCCCCATAACAATAATAATGGGAATTATGAATAATTATAATAATCAATCACAATTAATGCTGCCACATGCATGACAGCAACCAAAACCAACATGTTCATCAAACCGTGAACATGTTTTAGATTTTATTGCACATACTTGACAATAAAGTTGACTCGACTTGACTTGAGTGAAGGCTCTGTGAATGTAGCTTGTGTTCAGCTCTTCAGTTCAGATCTTAAACAATAATCTAAACTTTCAAAATAACTATTTAATTTAGTTTTCTTCACAGAAATAAACAAAATGCTAATATATAGGTCTACTGTGTATATTTTTTAATGTTTTTTTTATGCCCCTTAAAATCAAGAAGGCCTTCCAACCCCCTGTGAAGCTTTGGAGACCCCTAGTGGGGGATCCAACACCCAGGTTGGGAACCAAAAGGGTATTGTTGGTCGTTTTCAACCTGGATTTAATTTTCTAACAACAAGTTTTGAATTTGTTCCAGTATTAAGTGAGAGCGCTGCAGCTGCGAAATGAGAAACATGATCCTTGCGGGCAATTGCACACAATCAAAAGATACCCTCAAAGTGCTTGTTTTTGCTACTGACTGGCTCAGATTGTTATTATAAGTGTCTGGCAACACAACCGTGCAGAGAAATGAAAAATGTTCTGTTCCTTTTGCTTGGTTCACTGTGTGTATAATCAAGTCTCGCTCAAGGAGAAGTCTCGTTCAAAAATCTCAGGAGTTATGTGATATGTTCCTGCGGGTGCTATGACCCAGTTCCCATAGAGTAGATTTCACAGACTGGATCAAGCAAAAGGTTACCGAAAAAAAAAAAAAATTCTGTAGGCTCCTTTCCATAATGTTGTCAGACATTTACAGCAACAATACAAGGCTTTTCATAGACTAATGCTCGTTTTTCATCGTCTCACTGGCACATGTTACATGTTGCTGTGTGTGTGCTGGTGTTCATGGAAAGGCTCAAATTTAAAAACATACTGATGAAATATGAATAATAAACATGTATCCGTCAACTTTGCAAAACAAATATTTTAAAAGAAATGAATTCCTGACTTTTGTGAGCCTGTGTGATACTGACCAGCTGGAGGCCTGGGGTTGGCTGGAGAACATGTCCACTGCTTCGTTGTTGAGGCTGGATACGGCGCCCGCCTCCTCAGTGATAAGGGAGAACTCGCTGCTCAGACTGGTCACACTGCCGCGATCCCTCGACTCTGAAACCAAACACACACAGTAGGGTTGTTAGTTCGGGTTCCTAAGTCAGTAGACCTTTTTCTCAGCAGACATTTAGACATATAGCAGGGAAAGCACAGGTGTATGAGACCTGAAGTGAAACCAGAACTTCCAGGTTCTGTTCCATAAGGAAGAAAACTTTATTCAAAACCCCACTGACATTGGTAACTACGCTAATAACTAAAATCCAGCAGGGTCGTGTCTAGATGATAATACTAGATTTGCGAAATTTGTAAATATTGTTTCTTCCTTGAGCAAGTTTTTTTTTTTTTTTTTTCATGGTAAGCCATTACCATGGAGGTATGAGAAGCATTGTTTTGTCCTGTATACTCTGCAATTCAGTTAAAGCAGGTCTTTAACTGAAGCTAGATGTTACTACGATGTTGTACAAATGTGAAGTTGTTGTAACAGCTGTACAACCTTAAGAATAAGGCTATTCTCTGGTGTTGATTTAATATTACCGTGCATTGCAACAAATAACCTACAATAGCGTGATTTGTCACTTTAGGACTTAATTGTGAATATCTAAAATGATAGGTTTCTGACATCTAGACCCAGGGGCAAGGATGAGGGCGCATTTAAAGCGCACTGATCTGTTAGTTTGGTTTAGGCATGAAAATAACTTTAGAGAAACATTGTGGTTGTGTTAGAATTATTGCTTTTTTTAAGGTTACGGGACCTTCATTACATTAATAACCATTTGGTTAACGTTTGGAAACAATTCAAACTCGGCAGGAGGAGAATATTTTGAAACTGCTCCCAGTATATCTATGTTTATATATGAATCAACTGCGCACGTTTTGCAAATCTAGGGTTACCATTTCCCATATGCCCTAGACTACTGGTTCTCAAACTATGCAAGTTGGCTCCAGTGGTACATGCAGGAAAAAAATTACATTAATTAATCAAAAACATATAAAAAGAATAAAATACTTCCACATTTTGAAAGGTAATACTCACATTATTTGATTGCCGAAATGTAATTTTTAGTGCTGTCAAACGATTAAAATATTAATTCGCGATTAATCGCATAATTGTCATAGTTAAAACTCGCAATTAATCGCACATTTATCTATTCTAAGGTACCTTGATTTCTTTTTGTCCCATTATTTTTTCTATTTAATGCCATAACATGAAAAGTATTGGTTGCTCTGGCCAATGTTTTTATTGAAAACATTGGCAATATAACTGTAGTGTTCAATTTCACACTAACCATTCCAACACTTGAGCAAATAATCTCTCACACAAAGGGTGAAAAAAATACTTTGTCACACAAACAGCCCCTTCAACAGCCCTTTCTAAGGGATCAAAACAGTTGTGGTATCCATGTGCTTCTGTCTGAAGTCATCCATTGTCGCCTGGCTTTGACGAGGGGGCGGAGAATTTGCATCAGCTGTGTGCTTGGCCATCAAGTGGTATTTCAGACTGGACGTGCTGCG